TGATGGAAACCAAATGAACAAGAGGTTCATGAGCCTATTTGCCATCCGTCTAGTTTCTTTGGTGAAATACTGATGCAGCTTTTGTGTCCACTTGAAGAATAACGTTTGTATCCTTCGGGAATTTCATACATGGATATGAGGTATTTGATCACACTCTCCCACTCCTCCCCTAACTCTTCCCAGATCCTCCTCCTCCACCATCACCACCGGTAACAGCATCAGCACCACCAGCAGCACCAATGTAATGTCTTTTTCAATTCATAACCTACTGAGGCCAGTTTGTGCTGCTCAGATATTCATGGATGTGGGACCATCCTCTGAGTAGAGTAGACCTATCAAGGGCCACACTCTGAAAGAGAACTGACTCTCCTCTCCCAGAAGCCATCAGCGCTCATAGCTTAGCCAGGGCTGGGGACTCATGAGCCCTTCCCGTTTGCAAGCTGACAGGCTGACTGGCTTGATCCTGTGCAGCTCTGTGCAGGCAGACGCTGCGGCTGTAAGTCCTGAGTGCAGAGTTCCCATCATGTCCAGAGTGCAGAGTTCCCATCATGTCCAGAGTGCAGACTTCCCATCATGTCCAGAAGACACTCTTTCCCTCTGGTCCTCCTCGACCTCTTGTCTTGTACAGTGTTCTCACCTCACCGGAGAGATGGCTCAGTGGTTAAAAGAACTTGTCGTTCATGCAGAGGACCCACATGGCTGCTCACAACCATCTATATGTAACTCTAATTCCAGTGGCTCTGACGCCCTCTCTGGCTGCCCTGGGCACTACACACTCATAGTACAGATACATACATATATTCATACGTACATGCAGACATGCATACATACAGGCAAAACACTCATACACATAAAATAAAAAGAAGTCTTTTTAAAAGTCTTCCTACCCCCTCTTTCCCCATCTTCCCTGAGCCTTGGTGGTGTGTCCTGTTTGTGGCTGACACACTACAAATGTTTATTTTCTGTGCTTTGGCCAAGTACATGTTTCTGTGTTAGCGGCTGCCCACTTGTGCCCATTTTTGGTTGGGTTTTTCTGTTGCATACTAGACATTCATTTTGAGTTTGCTTGTGAACATGGAGCAAGATATGGACTGAGGTGTATTATTTTTACAATAACCCCAGTGCCGCTTGTTGGGAGGGCTCTTCTTTCTCTGTGCCTATGCACCTTGGACAAAACTTTCTGTCGACAAGTGTCGACAAATTTTTGAAAGTTTTGTTCTGTTCCATGGATGTGCACTTTGGAACTTCACAGACATGGTTATCATAACATCATACCAAGGTTTTGTTTGCTTCTTTCCTTCAGTCCTGGGGATTGAGCCCAGGGTGTTGCACATTTTAGGCAAGCATCCAACCACTGAAATGCATCCTGCCCTGTCTGCCTTGCGATCATTTTAAGTGTTTTTTTTTTTTACGTTTAATTGTTCTAGATCTTTTGCATTTCCAGATAAATTTTAGAATCAGCTTCTTTATTTCTGAAATAGATAAATGGCCATTTGGGCCTGTGTTTGCACAAATCTGTAATCCCAAGGTATCTGTGAGGCTAAGGCAGAAAAATAATGGTTCAGCCTGTGCTACAGAGTGTGTTCAAGGACTGCCTGGATAATTTAACAAGACCCTGTCTCAAATTATTTAAAAAAATTAAAAATAACAGAGGCTGTTGTTCACTGGTAGAGCATGGGCTTTGTATGTGTGAAGCCCTAGGTTCAATCCCAAGTACCAAGAGATAGGAAAGTCAGTCTCCTGGGATCTTCAATGTGAGAGACATCTTGAAATAATGCATCTTTGGTCCCATGAGCAAGTTTTTTTTTTTAAACTATTTATTAATTTTTATTTATTTATTTATTTATTTATTTATTTATTTATTTAATGTAAGTACACTGTAGCTGTCTTCAGACACAGGAGGGCCACAAGAGGGCATCAGATGTCATTGCAGATGGTTGTGAGCCACCATGTGGTTGCTGGGATTTGAACTCATGACCTCTGGAAGAGCAGTCAGTGCTCTTAACCACTGAGCCATCTCACCAGCCCGCAAGTTTTTATCTTATCCCTAAGCAGTTTCTATTTTCACGCTCCAATAATAGTATAATTTTGAAATTTATTCTCCAGTTGCTAATTTAAATTTATAATTTCCTTTGTGTTTTATGACCTCGCTAAACTTAGAGTTTGTTGTTGTTGCTGCTTTGGGTTTGTTTGTTTGTTTGTTTTGTTTTGATCCCATTAGATTTCCCACACAGATAAGCATTTGTTACACTGATAAAGACAGATATGCACCTTCTTTTCCAATACAGACACAGTTTATTTCTCATTTTCTTGCCTGATCGCACTGGCCAGCACCTTCAGAACCTAGTACTGAATAGATGGAATGGGGATGGTTTTTTTAAAATTTGAATTATTTCTTATGCTTTTATTTTAGTCTTATTTTTCTTGGTAGCCATAAATCTTAGTGGCTACGTTAGGATTTGTAGTAACCTAAATATCACAGTACATCATCCAGTATATCTTCAAGATGGTACCATACCATCCGGTATATCTTCAAGATG